ATGATCTTTTACCTCCAATTTCAGGCTTGGGTCACTGGGCCTGAGGGTTTGAGGTTTTGTATAGAATAATTTTTTTTGAGGCCAGGCATGGTGGCTCAAGTATGTAGTCCTCGAATAGGAAAGTCTGAGTCAAGAAGAAAGTTCAAGACCTGACTGGTCGGTCTATAGACTAATTTCCAGGCCAGCCTGGTTAAATTAGTGAGACCCTGTATTAAGTAAAAACCACTGGGTGTACCTCAGTGGTAAACTACTTGCCTAGCTTGTATAAAGAAGGCCTTAGTTAACTCCCAGTATTGAAAAGGCACACAGACTATGAGTGTGATGATGAAAACACCCTCCATTTTCTTTATTATCCCTTCTTTCCTGTTTTTGGGTTTTTGAGTTAGGGTCTCAGGCTACAATTTAAGCTGGGCCTCATAATCTCTTGACTCTGAGTACCATGCTTGACTGTTTTTATTGTTTGGTTTGATTTTTTGAGACAGGGTTTCTCTGTGTAGCCCTGGCTGTCCTGAAACTCACTCTGTAGACCAGACTGGCCTTGGACTCACAGAGATGTGTCTTCCTCTGCCTCCTAAATGCTGAAATTAAAGGTGTGTGCCACCACCCTCAAGCATTGACTGTTTTCAGAGTAAGGAAGACTAGGTTCTGCTGTGCTGTTAGGCTGGCCTTGAGTCTAGGCTCAAGCACTCGATGGGAATATAACATACATGCCATCATATTGTCTTCTAGAGCATTCTTTTTTTTTCCTCAGTAAAATAATTGAGCCAGTTCTGTTTTACATAATCTACTTTTCAAACCTGTGCAGTAATTGTATCAAATAAATTAAGAAAGTGAAATGTCCAGCTGGGACTGGTGACATGTCAGTGCTATTCCAGTACTTGGGAAATTAAGTAAGGGAGAATTTGAGTTTGAAGCCTGCCTGGGCTATAGAACAAGGCTCTGTCTCCAAGATAAAACAAACACAAAAGATGGAGAACTCAGTCAGTAAAGTACTTGTCAGGCAAGCATGAGGACTTAAGTTCAATGCCGAGAAAGTTCAATGCCGAGAACCCATTTAGAACGTGGCATGGTGCCAGGCGGTGTTGGCCCACACCTTCAGTCCCAGCACTTGAGAGACAGAGGCAGTCGGATTTCTGTGACTTCGAGACCAGCCTGGTCTACAAGAGCTAGTTCCAGGACAGTCTCCAAAGCCACAGATAAACCCTGTCTCGAACCCTCCCCGCGCCAAAAAAAAAAAAAAAAAAAGAAAAGAAGGGGGCTTGGTGTTTCTTGTTTATTGAAGGGAACAGCCCCCCCCCCAGCCCCCTGCTTTGGCAGCCATGACAGGCTGCAGAAAATACCCAGCAAAAAGTGCTGAGCTTCCTCACCTTGCCTGACCTACTAGTCACTAGGAGGTCAGAAACCCTCCATGTGGCAAGGAACCAATCAGGAATTAGCTGGTGGGCTCTGGATGTGTCGCCCAAGCCCACAAGTGCACCAGTCCTGAGACTGTTGCAATAACCCTAGACACTTCCCTTGTTCTACCCAGTAAATTCCCTACCTTGAAACTCCTTCAGGTCCTTCCCGCTCCACCTGACACTCTTTGCTTTTGTGTCGGAACGGGTCTCTTGGTGATTTGGGGGTTAAGAATTTGGGCACAATATTATAAGTCAGGCAGGTCTTAGGAGTTAGCTGGTCAATCACTCTAACCTATTTGGCACAATTCAGGTCAGTTTTTTGCTCCCTCCCCCCATTGAGACAGAATTTCACAATGTAGCCCTGGCTATCCTGAAACTCATTCTTGTAGATCAGGCTGTGATTAAAGGTGTGCATGACCATCCTTTCCTAAGAGAGACTGTCTTAAAAGATCAGGGAAGGATGTTACTGTCGTAGCATCTGTATGTATGTGTATGTATGCAGAGACACATACAGACATGTGTACCCATGAATATCATAAGCACAAAGAATACCTATAATTAACACAGCTATTTAAAATTAGAGTTAGAAGTGACATAGTCTCAGCACTGGAAAACTGATGCAGAGGATCACAAATTCTAGACTAGCTTAGTTTATATAGTAAGTTCTAGGCCATTAATGTCTATGTAGTGAGACTTGTCTCAAACCACCTTCTACCACAAAATTTGTGTTTTGAGTACCCAAACTGATTTGGATTGAACCACATGGCAGGTGCATTTGAAGCAGTTGCTCTGTCACTAAGTCACATCATACCCTCTAAACCCTATTTATATTAGCCTGTAAAGCAATATATGAAATTAAAAAAATAATATATTTAACTTATGTGTATTGGTGTGACGATGTCAGATTCCCTGGAACTGGAGTTACAGTTAGTTATAAACTGCCATGTGGGTGCTTGGAATTGAACTAGGGTCCTCTAGAAGAGCAGTCAGTGCTCTTAACCGCTGAGCTAACTCTCCAGCCCAGCAATATATAAAAATTTTAAAGAGGAGGAGCTGGGGGCTGGAGAGATGGCTCTGTGGTTGAGAGCACTGGCTGCTCTTGCAGAGGGCTAAGGTTCAATTCATGGCATCCACGTGGCAGCTCACAACCACCTGTTCCTCCATTTCCAGGGGATTTGATGCCCTCTTCTGACCCACAGACTCATTATGTAGCAAGCAGATATACACACAGGCAAAACAATCATGTAGTTGCTCAGTGGTTGAGAGCTCTTGCTGCTCTTGGAGAGGACCCAGGTTAGATTCCCAGTACCCACATGGTGGTTTATAACCATCTGTAACTCAGTTCTAGGAGATCCAGCCTCCATGTACACTAAGCCTGCATGTGAGATATATGCAGACACCACACACACACACACACACACACACACACACACACACACACACACACACACACTTAGACAATTTTCAGAAGGAAAAAAAAACCTCACAAAACTTCTCAGGCTGATCTTGAACTTAAAACTTAAGCTCAGGCTGGCCTTAAACCTACTTCTCTCCCTCAGCCTCCTGGATAGCTGGAGTTACAGGCCTGAGCTTAGCGTCAGAGTCTGGGCAGTGAAGCAGGTGGAGTTTTCAAGGACAGCCCAGCAGCACTTGGTTTTTACCTACCTCAGCCTGTGGTCCGCTTGGAATCACAGAACTGTGAGATAACAGTGCCCGCATTCTTCTCCCTCATGTCTAATTCTAGAAGATAAGGAAATGGAAACCCTGCCTTCTGTATAGTAAAATGTAGCTTCTTAGGAACAATGTAGTGGGGTGTCATCATACTAGGTAACTTGTAGTTGATGAGGAAAGTTTAGCCTTGTGTTACTCTTTTTTATTTTTCCAGACTGGGTCTCAATGTGTTGCCCTTGCTGTCCTATAACTCACTCTGTAGACCAGGCTGGCCTCAAACTCGCAGAGATCCACCTGCTTTTGTCTCCTGAGGGCTGGGATTAAAGGCATGGGCACCACTGCTGGAATAGTTCAAGATTGTTTTTGTTTATTTGTTTTGTTTTTGTTTTTTGAGACAGGGTTTCTCTGTAGCCTTGAAGACTGTCCTGGCACTCACTCTGTAGACCAGGCTGGCCTGGAACTCAGATCTGCCTGTCTCTGCCTCCCAAGTGCTGGAATTAAAGGTGTGAGCCACTACCACCTGGTTAGCACAAGCCAGTTCTTAAGGATAATACATAGAAGGAATCTCTCCTACCCTTGAAGCTCTCAGGAAACCAACAGAATTTATGGAGGCTGATGGTTAAGGAAGCCTGCCTGCCTCCCACCCTTCTGTCTCTTTCTTCCTCTCCCTCCCCCCTTTGGAGTATCTTACTGTCTATCCTAGGCTGACTTACAGTTGGTAGCCTTCCCACCTTCAGCTTTCCTAGTGCAGCCTCCGGGTATTGAAGAGTGCCATGCATGGCTGTCCAGGAGTCTTGGGAAGGTCATTGCAAACTAGCTATTCTTGGAGCAGAACAGAGGGTGGGGCAACTTCTGACTTGTAAAGGAGTGTCTTGTACACTGCATTGGCTGGAACTTACTGTGTAGCCAAGAGTGACCTTGAACATCTGATGTTCTATCTCCACCTCAAGTGCTAGGATTATAGGTAGTTCAAATGGTGCTGGAAATCAGCTCCAGCTAGACATGCTTCCAGCTGAGCTGTATCCTAGCCCCTGGATGCAGCTTTGTTGGAACCACAGCCTTCAGATTGGATCTGACACTTTCATAGTGTCTTCAGTGCCAGAAGCTAGTGGATTGGATTCTCAAATCATGGCATGGTGGTGCAAGTCAGTAATTCTACCATTCTGGAGACAGAGGTAGGGGAATTGAGAGTTCAAGACTAGCCTGTGCTAGCTAGAGTAGGGTGAAAGTGTGAAAGCTTGATCCCAACTAGCTCTTAAAACTTACATTAACCTGTTAATATTAATCTACAGTCCACCATGTGGCTTGTTACCTCTCTATATTATCTGTGTCTCCCTGGTGAATTCCCCTTCTCTTCTTCCCAGAGTTTCTATATCTTCCTGGAAGTCTGGCCTATCATCTAATTAGTCATTAAGCCAATCAGAAGGCGCCTTGGCTGAAATACATCTTCACAGTATACAAAAATATTATCCCACAAAAGATTTCAGGCATTCTTTGCCCTTTAGATCTGACTTCTGTTTGCAGCAGCACAGCTTTGCAGGTTGCCTTGGCTTAGGAGGGGTTTCCAGGAGCAGTTTGGTTTATTCTTACAGGTGTAGGGTCATATGCCCAGTATGGAAAACCTCTGGGTGTTGTCTAGTTGGAGGTTTTATGGTGTGTCATGTAGAGTTTTTACAGACATTTAAAAAATGTCCCAGGCTGGAGAGAGGGCTCAGGTTTAAAGCACTTGCTATTCTTCCAGAGGTCTTGAGTTCAATTCCAGCAACCACATGGTGACTCACAACCATCTATAATGAGATCTGGTGCCCTCTTCTGGCATGCAGGCAGAACACTGCACACTAAATAAATAAATAAATAAATAAATGAGTAAATCAATCTTAAAGAAAAATAAAAAATGTGTCACATGTTTTACTAAAGTTCTTGTATTTATAGACCTGAAAAATGTCTGAAAATTCCAGCGACAGTGACTCATCGTGTGGTTGGACTGTCATCAATCATGAGGTATGTTCTCTGATACATTGTTAGCAGTGACAGAACTGCTTTATGGAGGTCAGTGTTTTTTATATTGAAGCCATGGGTTCCTTTGTGTATAGTTTGGGTGTTTTCCCCAGCATATTGAACGTGGCTGCTAAAATACCATTGAGCTACATACAGTCCTAGTCTTTTTTTTTTTTTAACAATAACAACAAAAACTTTGAGATAGGGTCTTACTAAGTTGCCCTAGGTGGCTTTGGAATCTGTGTGGGGCTCAGGCTGATCATCATGAACTTGGGATCTGTGTCTCAGCTTCAGAGCCTGGGATGAAAGGCCTGTGCCAGCACACCTAGGGTTTGGAATTTTTGTTTGCTTGTTTTGGTGGTTTTGAGAAATTAGTCTCACTGTGTAGCTTTGGATGGCCAGAATTGGCCTTGAATTCCCAGCAGCTCTTCCAAGTGCCAGGATTATAAATGTGTGCTAGTATGGGTGGCTTTTGTTTTGTCTTTGAAAAAGTCTCGATCTGTCATGTAGACTGGCCTGAAACTCAAGGCAGCCTTCCTGCCTCAGTTTCCCAGGTGTATTAGAGGCATGAACCATATCCAACCTCTTTTCTTTTTTTTCTTATGTGAATTGTAGGATTTACTAAGAAAAAGTACATGTTGTATTAACATGTGTGGAGGACAACAGTTTGTAATCAAGAGAGAGAGCTTCCCTAGAGAGTGGCATCTAGGATTTTGGATACCCTGCTGAACACTGCAGTCCAGCATCTTCTGCATTATTCTAGCCCATGTTCATTAACCTTTTTTGTTGTTGTTGTTGTTGTTGTTGTTGTTGTTCATTTTTCAAGACAGGGTTCCTCTGAGTAGTCCTGGCTGTTCTGGAACTCACTTTGTAGACCAGGCTGGCCTCGAACATCACATTCCTGGTACCAACTTCTGTCTTAGGGTTTCTTTTGCTGTGAAGAGACACTGACCATGGCAACTCTTATAAAGGAAAACATTTAATTGGGCTGACTTAGTTTTAGAGGTTTAGTCTTTTATTGTCATGGTGGGAAACAGGGCAGTGTGCATACAGATATGGTGCTGGAGATGGAGCTGAGAGTTCTACATCTTGATCTGCTGGCAGCAGAAGGAATCTGTGTGCTGGGCATAGCTTGAGCATTTATGAGTCCTCAGAGCCCTTCCACACTGTGACACTTCCTCCAACAAGACCACACCTGCTGCAACAAGGTTACAGCTCCTAATTGTGCCACTCCCTATGTTCTAAGTTTTCAAACATGGGGGCTATGACCTATTCAAACCTCCACATTCTATTCCCTGGCCACACTGGCTTGTAGCCATAATGCAAAATGCATTCAGTCCATGTCTAAAGGTCCAAAGAGGGGGGCTGACAGTTCTTCCAGAGGAACCAGGTTCAATTCTCAGCAACCACATAGCAACTCACAGCTGTCTGTGACTCCAGTTCCAGGGGACCTGACACCAATGGCAAAACATGAATGCACATTAGAAAAAAATCCAAAGAGATACCCCTCTGTCTCTGCCTCCCCTGTGCTAGGATAAAGAGGCATGTGTCACCACTGAGGACTTCCCTGAACTTTGAGGTGTTGACTTTATTATTTGTCAGGCTCTGCCCTTTACAACTACATTCTTAATGTAAATTTTAAGGCCTTTGTGGTACATTCTTTTCATTGTCTTTTTTGGGGGATGGAGGGCAGATCCGCATATTACAGTGAATTTAGGATAACCTCTAAATTACCACACAGTCCAGGCTTGACTTCCTACTTCTAATCCTCTTGCCTTGATTTCTGAGCACTAGAATTAAGAGTACCCAGTAGTCAGTGTTCTCTCTTAAAAAAAATAATATGTATGGTATTTTGCCTGAATGTATGTATGTCTTTGTACCATGTATGTACAGTGCTCTTGGAGGCCAGAAAATGATGTGGGATTCTCTGGGACTGGAAATACAGAAATTCGAGTCACCATGTGGATGCTGGGAACTTAACCTGGGTCTCTGGAAGAGCAGCCAGTGTTCTAAACTGCTGAGCTATCTCTCCAGCCCAATCAGCCTTTATTTTTTGTTACTGTTTTTGAAGACAGGATCTAGTTGTGCTTGATGTGTAGCTTACAGTGTAGTCAAGGCTGCACTGAATGTAGTCACAAAGCCAGTTTTGTAATGAGGAATGATGCGCATACAGTGAGTTGTGTAATAGAATGTTATAAACATTGATTTATTCCTCCCACTGGTGATTGTTTTCAGTATAGAAGTCATAAGAACAGAAACCATAGATAGCATCAGTCCAGCCTTACTTGTTCAGATTTGAGTAGTCTCATCAAGTTTCCTGTTTGTTTTTAGGATTTTATACCCACTCTTCTATTAAGTCCTTCTAAGTCCTTCTCTTGCTTGCTAAGGTCTCTTGGCTATATTTTATCTTTCTTTTCATTACTCTTATTCTGATTTAATCCAGAACTTCCATCCTATGCAGTCTGCAAACCGGATGTAATTTGCCGGAGCCTCCATTTTGCTGCCAGTGCAGGCAGTCTTTTAAAATTTTTTTTATTCATATATGTATTGGTGCGCACCATGTGCACACAGTGCCTGAGGATGTTAAAACAGGGTATTTGTTCTCCTGGGACTGGAGTTACAATTGTGAGCCACCCTGTGGGTACTGGGAATCAGACCTGGGTCCTCTTAACTCCTGAGATATCTCTCCAGACCCATAGTACAGATTCTTAGCACTCAGAGTTTGGCTTTTAGCCTCTGAGCCATCTCTCTAGAACCATGGGAAGATTATTTGGCCAAGTAGCTGTTGGGTTTATCTTTTGAATAATATTTAATTTGTTACCTGATGTAAAAATTAACCTTCTGTTATGTTCATTCTGTTTGTATTCACCTGACATGAGCTTGAAGCTTATGACTGCATTCTGCAATTTCCCTCCTGCAGGCCTGTGTGTTGAACAAAACCAATCAGGATAGATGATGTTTATAGTGTGGTAGCATTAGAGACTTTTCTATATATCAAATCAAATCCAATACCTAAATTAATAGTTACCACTCTCCCCTAGGGTTCTGATGTAGAGATCATGAATTCTGCCACAGCCAGTGACAACTGTGAACTGACTCTAGAATGTTCCTCATTAGAGCAAGAGGAACTGCAAGTTCTTCATGTGGGGACTGGAGGTGGCGGTAAGTTAAGTTCCATTTCTTTTTCTGGGGCTGAGGGTATCATTCTTGATTGCCATTGGAATGGTCTTATCCTAGAATGTTCAGTGGGCTTGTGGGAAGCTGGAAACCTGCCAGCAGGTATCTGCGAATAGTTAGAAGGCTGCTGACACCTGAGAGCCATTAATGAGTTACATTCCTTGTGTGAAATTGTCCCCTCACACTTTCTAGTAATTGAAATTTGTTGGCAAGAGCAGAGTGATTGATGGTATGTAGGTCATAAAAGTAAAGTGTTTTCAAAGAAATAATGCTATTGATCTTGGTTTTATACCAGAAAGCATCGCAAACAGCATGTTATCGGTGGAGGAGACTAGGTTGTTATCAGTGGGAGAAACCAAGTCGGCAATTGAGGTAAACTTTTATTTTGTTCATGGATGTTTGATAAGGACTGTCCTTCTGTTTATGGCTAAGCATTCTGTTCCTACCTAAATTACAAGAAAATTTAGTGGAAAAAAAATCAGTTAATTTTAAGGTTAAAGTTAACTTCTGCTGGACAGGACAATAAGCAAGTGCCTTCCCCTAGGTTACTCTCACAGAACCAATTGTGACTAGAAGATGAGTTAGTGTTCTGTTTAAAGAACTATTCTTTTTTTGGTATTTTGAAACCGGGTTTCCTTGTGCAGCTTTGGAGCCTATCCTGGAACTGGCACTGTAGACCAGGCTGGCCTTGAACTCACAGAGATCTGCCTGCCTCCTGAGTGCTGGGATTAAAGATGGGTGCCACCATCGCCCAGCTAAAGAACTACTCTTTTAATCTATATTGTGATTGATTTTGGAAATTGATTTCATTCTTGAATTACAAATTCAGATTTTCCTGAGTGAATGTGTAAAATGAAAGTTAACTTTTACATTTGATAACAAGTTAAATATTGTCTGTTGGAGTTGCCTTTTGAATAAAGTCACTTGGCTAGATAATCTTTCCCTAGTATTTTAGTTCCTTGGTGCTGAAATTGGGTGACATAAAGAAAAATAATTCGTTTCTGGAAGGGCACCAGCCTAAATTGTAATGAATTTAGGGACATATTCAGACTCTAGTGCCTAGCATAGCTGTTGAACCAGACAAGTTTAATCAGTTTGTCGCTTGCTCTGTGGTTATAGCACGGAGCTGGTGAAGGACTGTTGAAATGAGGGAATTCTTGGGATCCTGTGATTATGGAGGGAGCTGAGAAGTCTCTTAAACTTTTGAAGCTCAGTGGGTGAAAACAGGAGTCTCATCTAATTCTTAGCATTATGGATGGCTTTCAGGTTCCAAACTAAAGTGAGTCTGTGTTTGCATAATACTTTACTATTAGATAGAAATCATTTCTTTAAGGGCTAGGGGAGGTGTTCAGGGGTAGATCTGGAGCATAGTGTGTGTAAGGCCCTGGGCTCCATCCCCAGCACTGAAAAGCAAAGGGAAGGGGAGAAGGAATAAAACTAGGTGTCATATATTTTGAACTGCCCATAAAATCTGTTCCTTAGGTGGAGGAGGCAACTTCCCCTGAAGACAATATGTATCTCGGAACTACTAGTGATGATTCTGATATTGTTACACTTGAACCTCCTAAGCTGGAAGAAATGGGGAACCAGGAAGTTATTATAAAAGAAGCGCCCAACTCCGAAGACTTTAACATGGGTTCTTCCTCCAGTAGCCAGTACACCTTCTGCCAGCCAGAATCCGGTAGGAGTTGTTGTTGCAGCGAACCTCTGACATTTGATTTAATGGCTTGTTTTCTAGCTCCAGCTATCAAAATGATTTCTCTGAAATGCAAGAGAACTCTCGGTAAAGTTTGTTACAGTGTCTGCCTGGCCTTTATGGCTCGGTTCAGTGTTCTTTCTTAGATACATTACTGTGGGAGGGGGTGGATCAGGGATTAATCGCACATTCTAGGTAAACTTACTCTGCCACATTCAGTTTATTAAGTCTCAAGTCCTCAAAAGATGCATTTGGCCTTTGATATTTGGTTGATATATATCTATATAGATATATATAGATATATATAGATATATATAGATATATATA